CAACAGTTAAAACAAGATTTTTAGCCATTCCCTAACACAAATCAACATAATCAAAAGTTTACAACACTTGTTCACTTTTACAGGTATTGGGTTAGCACATGGAACAAATTATGACCTTACTCTCGTGAAAACCCGTTATGACAAAAATGCTCAATCATTTTCATTTTACAAAGCATGACAGTGATCGACTCCAACTATTTGTTAACTGACAACAATCTTTTTCTAAAAAATATTTTCTAAAAATTACCTAATACTTACCCAGATTGGTTACATGTTTCAAACCACGTACACCAGTCAAAGTAGTTTACAGTCAGTCCCAATGTCATAAGTTCAAGTCCAAGTCCAAAGGAATCTTTTGGCAACCAAACATTTTTCCTAAACATATTATTCGATTGAACTATAAACATAAATATATACAAACTATCTAATTATATTTTCCTACAAATAAAACTCATGGCTTTCTTTGAAATCCATGTAGCAGGCTTCAAACCAACACATCCAAACCAGATGACCTTGGCGTGCTAGATTTAAAGAGATCCCAAGGGTTTACTTGCCCGAACCTCAAAGGCCACATATTAGCTTTATTTGAATATCCAAACAATTCAGCTTTAGGCAATTAGGTGTAGAACACCCCTCGGGGTTTACTAATTCGAGTGCCAAAGGTCACAGATTAACTTAATACAAATTTTATTTTTTACCTTTTTGTTTTTTTTAATTATTTATTTATTTATTTATTATTATTATTATTATTTTGGTTTTTTTTTTGCTTTTTTTTTTAGTTTGTTTGCCAGGCTTATTTCCTTATATTTTTGTCCTTCAGTATTTCTATTTTTGGGACATCTCACTGTCTATTACCGTGAGAGACTTCTAAGACATTTTTCGGGGGACTGATGTAAACGCGCAAAGACCCGTATGTATAGTTAGAAACAATGTCCCCAAGCAGGGTATTTAGAAGGGAATAGGTAGAAAGAACTTTTTAGAGCGCTGGAAAATTTGAGTCACTGAAAATTTATATTCATTGCATGGCTCTTTTGAATTTGGAGTTTGGATATGAATGAGCACTTACTACTCATAAGACTGTCGTGTGTTCCAAGGGCTAAACTATATCAGTTTTTATGCTTCGGTGTTGATAACCTTATCATTTTTTGTTTTGTACGAGTAGCTTCAGGAGACGTGTTCGTGTGTGATTAGATTGCTTCAAGATTTTTAATGAAAAACGAACAAGTTCTAATCTCAAGCCATAATTAATTTACCACTTCAACTGATTCAAGAAGATTAAGTTCCTTTAGATTGATTTTTTTTGGGTAAACTAAGAAATAGTTAAAAACATAATATTTTTTGTATATTTTTATGCTTTGAAATGAATGCATGAAAAAATATATATATATATATATTTTTTGAAATTCATGTGGAAACTAAAACCTAATGTACAAAGACCCCTCCGCAAGCTTAAGATTAAGCATCGTCCTCGATGCTTGGAGAGGTAGGGCAACCTACTGACCACGAATGTATAACTATTTAGAGCATATGAATGGATTCTCAACTGTTCTAGTCAAACAATCTTAAGATTCATGCATCAAACTTGAGATATGGAAGGAATATACCATTCAAATGCTTTGAATTTGTGATGTGTGCTTGACTTTTTCACGTCATCTTCAACCTCAAGAAAAGTTGAGCTCTTCAATGGTGGAATACACAAACGGAGGTAAAAGCTTCCCTTCTTCTTTACAAAATACCTCCTTAAGCTTACTCTTGAAACCCTACAAAAGAATTTTGAAACCTAATACAAGAATCAAGTCAAATTTTACAAAGAAAAAAAACTAGGGTTTTATGCATGATTCGATTTTGTACACTTTCATGGAGGGAATTCTACATAGATGAAGAAGAAGAAGAAGATGGAGTTAGGAACTTAAAACAACAAACCTTTGAGCTTTAAAGTTAGATTGATTGATGAAAGTCAAAAGTTTATGAGTGTTTAGGAGGAGAGAGTGCGGAGGAAGAATGACACAAAACACATGGTCCAAGCCAGGTCGTGCTCTTTTATGGTAGCCAATGCTTGTTTAGCATGGGCCGTGAGTTTTTATGAGTATCCCATGCACATTATTTTTTTGTTCAAAAAATTGCGATTGAATGGCATGGGGTAACCTAGGTCGTGCGTTTTTTAGTACAGCCCATGCGTTTTTAGAATGGTACCTGAGTTTTGGCTTCAGCCCATGCATTTTTAACAATTGACCATGCAAAATTTCTTTTTTCTTTTGAAACCTCGTAAGCCACACACAGGTAGAAAATCAGGCTGTGTATTTTATGCCTAGCCCATGTGTTTTTTGTACATGCCCATGCGTTCTCTTCTGTTAACCTCAAAAATCATGTTTTTTTTTTTTTTTTTTTTTTTTTTTTTTTTTTTTTGTAAACATGACTCCCTCTCAATCTTTTAGATTTTTTTGAACTCTTAAATGACTCAAAAACATTGCAACACAGATGAAATAAAGTAAAATAAATAGAATGGAAAGAAATACTCCCGAGTTGCCTCTCGGTTAGCCGCCCTTATTTCAAGTCTTTGGCTAGACTTGACCCCTGACATATGTTATTCTTTGAATTTTGGGGCTCTCCAACTCAGTAAACTTCCTACTACTTCCTCAAATAAGACACTTATCTTGTACCTGACTTTCTTTTTGCTTGGGAACCATACTGGACTTAGACCCTTGATGACAACAATCATCCAACTGAACCCTTTCTTGTATTTGTCGAGTAAGGTGATCAACTCTTCTTTCTTTGATAGAGATTTTGAGTTAATGACCGGTTTGGTGTCTTCCTTCTTGGGATACGTATCCTTTGAAGGGTCCGACATATTTATCAATTCCGACTCCCGTGGTTGGTCTACCACTAAAAGGAGTTTCTCATTGGTAGTGGGTAACTCAACCTCTCTTTCATCAACCTCCAACACCTCCTCTATAGCTTCCATGACAACCTTATCAATTTCTACTTCTTCTTTGACAACATTCTCCACCTCTACTTCTTCCCCCTCTTCAATTTGCAATCTTGGGTAATCAAAACTTTTTCCACCATTCAAGGTCATGGAAAAAACAATATGCCTTGGGTCCTCTTCGGTTTGCGATGGTAATTTGCCTTTAGTTTCCAGTATACTCACAGATTGAGTAAGTTGTGCAATTTGTTGCTCTAAGCTTTTGAGTCTAAGTTTTGTTGTTTCCTGGAAGATTCGGGTAGTAGTGGCAATGCTTTTCACAATGTCTTCCAAGGACATGCTCGATGTTTCAGTTTGTTGGGGAGGTGGAGGATATGGTTGTTGGAACTCTGGAGTTGGTTGGTATTTGTCATCTCCCCAATCTTGGTATGGGTTTTGGCATTGGTTGTTTCCCCAAGCTTGGTTGTTTTCCCACCATTGATCATGTTGAGGTTGATCATAACTCCATTGATTTGGCCAGTAGTAGCTTCCCCTTTCCTACACTTCCTCCCATTCCCTCTGTAAATATGGACACATATTGGTATGATTTCCATTTTGAGTGAAAAAATCACAAGGAATAGGTGTGGGCTGCATACTTTGGTCATTTCCAATCATCATTACAATCTGGGCTAGCTCATAAAGTTGGTATTTAATGTAAGGAGTGTTCATCTCCAAGCCACACTTTTTGTTTTTTGTTTTGTTTTGTTTTGCTTTTTTTTTTTTGTTTTTTGTTGTTGTTTTTTCTTATAGAGATGTACCTGCTCACAAAAATCTTGGTATAAACAATTAGTAACACCGTGTCCCTGGCAACGGCGCCAATTTGTTAGGCGTGTCAAACCCAACAAATAATAGGGGTACAATAGACTCCAGATACACTGCTTTAATGCACTAAAAAGTAGTACAAGGCAAGCAGGGTCGAACCACAGAGACACGGGACAAAAGTCTATACCTTTTTGCACAAGGTACTTTGGTCACAGATGGGGGTTTTGTTTGCAAAAGTCAAATAATAAAAGAAATAACAATCAACTTTGAAACATGCAAAAATGAAATAGATTTGTGAACAAGTTGTAAAAGTGCTTTCGGTTCTAGTTCTCAATGTTGTCATTTAACCTGATTATGAGTTGATATAATTTGTGATTGCTATTCTAAGTTGGTACTGAAAGATATTAACACGCTCTAATACCTCTCGCTTACCAAATTATCTAACCAAAATACGCTCTTTGACTAGACCTAGCGTCACTAATTCAACCTAAACATGCTCTTAGATTGTATTGGAAAACTGCATTAAGTTTTGTACAAGCTTCCCAACAATGTTCGTTTATTCTCATATGCTCGGAAGTGTGAAAACACTACTAGAAAAACAGCCTTTTACGACGCTCATTGCGCGTCGTAAAAGGCTCAGACGACGCGCAAATGCGTGTCAAGGAAGGCCCTGTCATAAAGAGAGACGACGCTCTTTTGTGCGTCGTTTATAGACGACGTGCATTTACGACGCTCATTTACGACGCGCAATTATGACATGCGTTTACGATACACAATGCGTATCAAGGAAGGCACTGTCATAAAGGAAGACGACACGCATTTGCGTGTCGTAAACTTACGACGCGCGTGTTAATGACACACATTGCGTATCAAGAAAGCCCCTGTCAAGAAAGGCCATGTCATAAATGAAGACGACACGCTTTTTTGCGTATCATAATTTTAAATGTTTAAAAAAAATATTATTTATAGATTTACTTATTTTCAAATTAAATTTGTATTTAATGTTTCATAATAGAAAATAAAATATCATATACAAAAAATAGAATCCATTGCATAAATTTAATGTCATACAAATAATCATTCCATGGAAATATAAAACAAATCAATAGAAATTGTAACAAAAATTTACAAACAAATTAGATACAAAAAATATAATTCATTGCCTTGCTTATTCAAGATCAACCTGAAAGTAGCTAACTAATCTGTACAAATTCACCCTTGTTTCTAATCATTTTCTTAAATACTTTACAAACATAATTCATCCATAGTACCTGAACTATAGTTGCAACCTTGTTTCTTCTTCTTCTGAACTCATCTCTTGCAACCATTGCTCTAAGCCTAACATATACACAATTACACATCGCATGAAAGGACTGGATTTAATAATATTAATATTTATACCATCCAGTTGTCGATTGGTTCCCATAGCTACAGTAACTCTTCTTCCAGGCTCAATTGCTTCATCAATCACCACATTCTGCAGTGAATCAAATAAAATATTAAATATAATGATAATGATTGAAAACAATTAAAGGCCTTCATTAAAAAATCAAAACCTAAAGGTCTATGCATGTTAAGGATCTTGCAACTAGTCTAATGTCTATTCAATTACAAGTAAGTACAACATGATAATTTCATTTTTAGTCCTATCTTCTTTTAATTTAGCAAGTACTATATATATATATATATATATATATATATATATATATAACTTTATATTCTTACATAGAACAACATCTCTTCACATTTCATGCTTAGACCCTTTTAATTGTCCCACAAAACAAAAAAAATGTCACTTGATCAGAAAACTACATTAAAGATGGCCAGTTAGTCGCATCACAATTTGTAAAAGTTATCCCAATTCACACTTTAATATATATATATATAATATATATATATATATATATATATATATATATATTATGACATTTCAAGCTAGCCTTAGAGATGGATTGGAGGGATAAGAAAACTGGGCACAAGGCGTCTACTGCTTTCATTATTTAACCAAATATTTATTTATATGCACAAGGTTAATTAGGGTCTCTAGTAGTCTAAATCAGCCTCTAAATGGCTTGACTATTATTAGGCATGGGTAAACTCTACACTGCATCACTAGGTAGGTTATTATGTTTACAACTAAGATACACTGATAATATTAATAATAATATGATCAATTTAACTATCTATCATTAACATCAGATGCATGTAATACAAGTAGTATAACATGCAGACTCAGTGACATGAATTCCAAATGTTGAGGTTGGTTTTCCCTTAAATGCATATGACCATGAAGGATACTGAATCCCATGTGTATGTGTGAGTGAAAACAGGATCACTGCTGTCAAGCCTTTTCACAAGAGCACAAGTCAGAATGCACATCATTTCAGTTTTTTCAACAAAAAATTAAAATAAAATAGAAAATGGCATGGGTATGAGTTTGACTCTTATTTTGAGTGCTAAAGGGGGGTGGGGGTCTTGTTTTAGTGTTCATTCCGTAAACAAGCCTTGTACTTCATTGTAAACTCTTTCTCCCTCAACAATTACTTTGTAGCTTTGCTCTTTATTTTATGTGCTCTAAGAAATCTAAATTCTACAAGCGTTTTGACATTCATGAACATAAATAATGCATTTAAAATGATATGTTTATGTTTATATGTAAGAGAAACCTTCTCTGTATGGAGCCCATTCATGCTTTCGAAGATGATGTGGGGCATCAAGCGGTGGCAACTTATTTCACCTATCACTTTCCTTCACTAAACCTTCTTCTTTTGCTCCTGATGGATAAGAAAAGTCTTCATTAGCCTGTACTTTGGACAAATAAACCATTAACACAAAATATAAATCATAATCTCTCAGCTTACAAACAAAAAAAAATGTCTACCCACCTCAACACTAGGAGTATCACTACTGTTGTCACCGGTAGTATCTTGTTGACGTTTTTTCTCAATATATATTGCAAGCTGTGAAGCAAATATTGTAAAAAAAAGTTTATAAAAATAATGATATAAAAAAATAAGAACAAAACAATTACCATTTGCAGATTTTTGTGAACTAAAGAGGTTGATAGATCAATTGCAGCTTTGGTTGGCATTCGTGGCAATGGTTGTGACTCTTCCCAACACCAACGTACTTCTCTAATAAGAAGTGACTCTAGTACAGAAATGGCTAAACAACATAAAAACAACAACAACAAACTTTTTTAGTACTAACACAAAATCTTCCATGAATTTAACATCCAAGGACATAGCTAATGCATCAATCAGAAGGCGAAGTTGTGAAGCAAATCCAACCATGTTTCTAGTATAATCACCAGTGCTATAAGACAGAATTGTGTCATTTCATACAAACATATGTTGAAACTAAATTTAACAACATAATTCCAATTCCATTACTTATAGATAAGAAGATAATTCGGGAAGAATGAACCAATTTTGAGCATCATGAATAGAAGCATTTTCAAGTTCAGCCATCTCCATGGAGCTTTCCACCATTTTCTCTCCCCACATAGCAACCAGTTAAAAAGCTGCACACATTCTATGAAATTATCAGTAACAAAAAAAAGTTACATTTCCCCATCATACACAAATATATTATTACCTTTTACAGGGTCTTCTGCAGTATACCACTCGCTCCAAGGACAATCATCATCCCATTGTAGTTTGTTTCTATTATCGCCTCCATTATCACCTCCAGATTCAGTAATCTCAGACTCAGAATTTAGCACTTCATTGTCTTCATCATAAGTAAGTGTCTTGTATGTTAATATCATGGTGAAATGGACTTTGAAGAAATGTGTTGAAAGGTCTGATGATGAAAAGGCCTACAACATTATGATTAAGTTAGAGAATATTCTTTAAAGAAAACAGAATGAGAGAGGTGACTTACAAATTTAGATACAAACAACTCATATAATCTCTCCAAATTCACGAGTTTTACAGGAACTTGATTGGAAATAAGATCTCCTTCAAATCTTCGAGTAAATATTGTTCCCATATTTTGGATACCAATATAAGCTTTTCTAGAAGGATCATGCACTGGGACAAATGCTGGCCACAAACTAAAAATGTTCCATTGTTCATACAATCATAACTTAAGTGTAATATAATTAAAATTAAAAGAAAAAGAATGAGTGAATCCCACCTGGAACAATTTGAGAAGGCTATAGCAACTGCACTTAGAATCTTGCTAGCCTCTAGTGAATCAAGAATAACCCCAGAGAAATTGGGATAATTTTAGCCGTTCAATCAGGGCAAAGAATCTTTGTTGGCGACATCACCGATGATGTTGGATCTTGATTTCCCGTAGTTAAAAAATCAACAATCTTTATCTTTTCTACGATACCTGTTGGATAACCCAGAGAAATTGGGACAATTTTAGCCCAGGGGTATTTTAGGAAGTTTTTAGTAAACTTGCATTCTTATGTGGTATTGAATTAGACTAGGTTTCATTTGTGTTTAGTATAAAATTGGACTTGCATTATAATGTAATTTCATTCAAAATCAAGTTTTTAATAAGAAAGTATGGCTTCAAGAAATACGGTATGGAACATGAAACGAATGAATCCCTCTATTAGAAGGTAGAGAAAAACTAGTGCATCGGCAATAATAAATAAATAAAGTATGGCTTCAAGTAACATGGCCTTATATTTCATATTCTAGAATCTCTTCAGTCTCCCTGCATTTCGCCTACGCCAAAAACAAAATCAAAAAAAGAAAAAAGAAAAACACATCAAGAATCTAAATTCTAAAACAATAACTCAATAAAACCATCTACTCACAAGAACAATGGTACAGGCAAAGTGGTGATAGCATCATAAACATTAACAACATAATAATATAACAATCGTACACAGTAGCTAATTGGTCTCACAAGAATTGATGTTTTGAACAGGTTTGTTGGTGCTAACATGTTGCTATTTGATCTACAGCAGAATAATATAACAAAGATATTGAATTGTTAAATTAATCGATGAATTTTAACTTTTATTTGATTTACAAAGTGGTGATAACATCATAAACATTAACAACCAACAACATCTAATGTCAGTATATCATTATTAATTGCTTGTTGCCTTCCCTTCATGATATTCAAACACTTCAACTAAAAATCAATTTGTGTGAGGATGAAGTCTTGTATGTGACCCACAATCATACTAAAGGAAACTTTATCCTAGAGTTATATAAAAATTTGACCAACTATTAAAGTAAATTAAGTTGAACCTGTTGGAATAGTGTCTAAGGCTGCAACTATATTAGGCAAGTATTTGACCCGGTTGTGCATGGTCCTTTTAGGTTGCCTTCACCATAGCAACTTGACAGGATGATTTATTATGAGAGAAGAAATATTATTAATATATTATGAGAATAATATAAACAATAATATTATTATTATTTGATTAATATAAGTCATAAATTAATTAGGAATTAATTTGGTGACTTAAAGAGATTAATTGAATAAAGGGGCATAAACTGTCAATTGTATGATAGTTATACTTTGGGCTATAAATCCCTTATGGATAAAGGGGGACGGTTTTAAGGACTATGGATAGGCCTTGAAAATCGTCCAAAGGCTTATCAATTAGGGTATTGGATTGCTTAGGGCCTAAGTTATCCAATTAGGGTTTAAGGATGAAACCCTAGGAGCCTCACTAGTATAAATAGACCTTAGGGGTTAAGGGAAATCGACACTTGTACTTTAGAAAGAAACCCTGGCCGATTTTGATCCCCTATCCTCTCTCTCAAATCATCCTCTTGCTAGTTGGTGTTTGTAAGCCATTAGAGGAGTGACAATTGTGACTCTAAAGCTCCAAGGACAAGAAGATCAAGCAAGTGATTCAAGGTAAACTTCTAATTCTGATTTCATATTGTTATTATAGTCTATTAGCCATTAGAAGTCTTGGATTCAATGTATGTTCAATTAGAGAAACCTAGATCCAAGCATTAGGGTTGCATGTGCACAAAGGAATGTTCATATGGCTAAAACCCATCAGTGGTATCAGAGCCAAGATTGATTTTTATTGAATTGATGCATTGGTTGCTTGTTTGATGCTTGCTTAATTCAAATTTTATGTTTCTGTCTGATGGACTCGGCGAGTCCCATAATGGACTCGGCGAGTAGGCTTGACTCGGTGAGTCCATTGGGGTACTCGGCGAGTCCAAGCGTCAGAAAGAGGTAACTTCATGATTTCTTGCTGTTTATTTTTGAGATACTTGCCTTAATCATATTAGATCAATATAACTCTGATTTTATGATATATATGAGTATATTCTTGACCTAATTGAAGATATTTATCAATTAATAAAATATTTATTTCCTTATGTGATAATTGATTAATTATTTAAATTAAATTGGTAAATTGTTTTGCAAGAAATCATTAAATAAATCAAATATGGAAAATTATGTGATTAAATGTTAATTTAGATTATTTGTTATTTGATCCCCTATGTTTTGAAAAGTTTAAAACTTGCCCTCAAGTTTTGAAATTTATGTTTTGTGATTAAAAGTTTAATTTAGACAATTTAAATTTCAAACCCTAGAATTTTACAAGTTTAAAATTCAACCCTATACTAATATAATATTACAAGATTAATATGTGTATATATATATATATATATATGTATATATATATATATATATATATATATATATATGTATAATTAAAATGCTCGTCTTACCATTAGTAGGCCTCATTCATGAAGCCGGTCTATAAGGTGGGTATAAGGTTGCTGCTTATAAAATGACGCTTAATGGGTGTACACTCACACCCACCGCTTGCTTGATCGGTGGAGGGTCGATAGTCGAACGGGTAGGATAGGGCAACCTCATATTTTCATTAAAAGTATAATATGAAATACAAAGTAACTACATGTTTTTCAAAATTTCCCAATCCTAGTTACTTTAGGAAAAGTGAATTGATGCAATCCCATGAAATTACACTTTGCACCCTTGCTAAGAAGTTAGTGGAGCGTGTGTGGTTTATCGGCACACTAATTGGTTCTATGAAAAGGTGGCAAAGGGTGATTCATTGTTTATCATAGTTCGATGGAGCGTGTGTGGTTTACCGGCACATCGAATAGGTGATTGTTACAATGAAGGCACCATGTGAATTTGCATGGTAATTCACACCCACTTTGTGATCCTCGGTATCCCAGTCACAAACGAGAGGGGCATATCGAGATTTAAACATGTAGTTGAAAAGCTTCAATGAATCTCATCCAAACCTAGGAATTCTCAATACATTTAGAACTTAAAGTTATGTTTTCATGGTGGAGAATTAGTGAATCGTCATTCACTTACCTTCAAATTGTTTGCATGTTAGATTACGGCATCCCTTTTCTAATATGTAAATATTGTTGTTGGATCCTAGCCTAAATTTTCTTATTGGGTGATTATTAGGGATTCAAATTCTAATCTATCTTTGTCCTTTCTATTTGTAGATGTCGAATGCGAACAATGCTGCTGCTAGCTCGTTCACATTGATGAGCCTTTGCCAAAAGGTGACTTTCGATGGAACGAACTTTAGCAAATGGATAAGATACATTCGCACAATTGCTCGCTACGAGGACAAGGAGTATGTCCTCGATGAGAAGCTCGAGAAGATCAACCCAGAAATCTCTACTCCGGCTGAAATGACTGCTTTTGAGACTCATGAACGTGATGCAACGAAGGTACATTGCATCATGATAGCCACAATGAACGCCGAATTCCAAAAGTCCTATGAGGACATGTATCCGTACGAAATGCACAAAGACTTGTTGGAGAGATACCACCAAAACGTGAGGCGAGAGCGTTACGAGATTTTCACTAACATGATTTCCGCCAAAATGGGTCATGGAGAATCTCTTACCGTGCACCTGCAAAAGATGCAAAGGTATGTCGATCGTATTCGCAAGTTAAATGTTGACTTTGAGGAAGACTTGGCGATCGACATGGTGCTTCACTCTTTGCCTCGGTGTTACAATCAATTTAGGATGGCCTACCACATGAAGAGGTCACCCTAAGTCTGTTGCATCCACTCCCAATCCACCCGCTGCTCCTATTTTGGCCATTGGGCAAGGAAGAGGCAAGAAGAGGAAGGCTCCGTCTAAGAGCCACTGCAAAGGAAAGTCCCGAGATGGTTCCTCCTCTAGTGGGACCAAAGTTGATCCCACTAAGCCTAACCCTAACCCAAAGGAGGCAGAGTGCCATCATTGGCATAAAATAGGGCATTGGAAGAGAAGCTGCCCAGACTACCTACAAGCCATAAGGGAAGGAAAGATCAAGCTATCTTTCGCAGGTATATACACAATTAAATCTAACGATTCATCTCATGCTATTTCTTGGGTCCTTGATACCGGTTGTGGTTACCACATTTGTTCTAAATTGCAGGGACTAAGAAGAAATAGGGATGTGGAGCATGGAAGAATAAATCTAATCATAGGGAACAGAAGATCGGCGCCTGTGACCAAGATTGGAGTGTATTCTTTAGTGCTTAGGAATGGTTTATGTTTATATTTGAACAATTGTTGCTATTCGCCAGAAATGGCAAGAAACATCATTTCATTTCATGTTTTGTTTAGACAAGGTTTTAGATTTTCTTTTAATAATGAGAATGGTTCTATTCTTGCTTATCTAAACGGTGTCTTATATTTTGAAGCAATACCGTGTAATGGAATTTATGAAACTGTTATGATTGTAGATAACTTAGGAAATGATGTTTTATGCATGGATTCTTCCAATGGTATGGATAGAGCATCCTTGTGGCATTGTCGTCTTGGACATGTCAACAAGAAGCGCATAGCCAAAACTCCAAAAGGATGGAGTGTTGGAGTCATTCGACCTTAGGGAAGATGACACATGCGAGTCTTGTTTGCTTGGAAAGATGACTAAGTCACCCTTCACTAGTACATGTGAAAAGGGTGAGGGTCTATTAGACCTCATACATACCGATGTATGTGGATCGTTTAGATCAACCACGAATGATGGAAACCGCTTCTATGTGACTTTTACCGATG